GGGTAATGAGTGCTAACTATCCTGAAAGCCATGAAGAGTTTCTGAAGGAGTCTGGTGGAGTAAAACAGTCATATTTGCGCCTCTAAAGAGATCACTCTGGGGGATGACTCATGGGGCTGGGTGGGGACAGGGAGTTGTGGCCAGGCTCCAGGTGAGAGCTAAGTGACAATGATCTAAGGTAGTGGGATGGACACAGGGAAGAATGGCTTTCTACTGCTGAGGTGAAGCCTCATTCTGGCTTGAGTCTCTGGGCAGGTAGATGATGGTGCTTTTCATTCAGGGAGGGAGCCAGGAGAAGCCAGGAGGAGCCAGGAGGAGAAGCCAGTTTAGCAAAGAAATGGAAGACTTCACGAGCCTGTGGAGCATGTCCTATAGGGGGTGGGATGTCTGGGTCTGGAGCCCGGGAGAGAGGGAGTCAGGTCTGTAATCTAGATCTGGCTGCTGGAGCTGACGGCGGCGGGGTGAACAGGAGGGACTGGGGGTCACCTGCTGGGATGGCAGAGCCTTGAGAAACAAGAGGGAGCCAGCGGAGAGGTGCTCAGTAAGGAGACGGCCCTCAGCTCACAGCTGAGAGCTAGATTTAAAGATCTTCTGTCTCCTCCTCCCTGCTCTCTCCTTTCTCCATTCCACCGTATACACTGCAATACTATGGATTTTTCTAGAACACTGTCCTACCTTTACTACTGGCTAAACCACATTTCACAGCCTCCCATGTCAAAACTCAAATATGCTGTCAGGTTTAAACACCTTTCCCTCTATTACAGGTGCAACATGATTTTCTGTCTCTCACTTGTGCCCTGTCATCCTTCAGCAGGGGTGGGGGGGGGGGCGGGGGCGGGGATGACTGCATGCCCCATTGCGCTTCAACCAGAGGGCCTCCCAGATGTCTTCCTTTCCAGGACCTCTTTATCACCTCTGTGCCTGCCTCACTCCTGCTGGTCCTCTGCTTGGGGATAAATCTGCCTCATCTCAGCCCACTCAATCCTGCCTGTCCTCCTAAGCCCTGAAACCACACGGTATCATGCCACACTGACAGGGCTCTCCTCCAATACCTTACACCCAGGGTGCTCAGGCCAATGCTTTTGTTGTACCCGGGTATTATCTAATTCAAGTATATCTGCTTAAGCTCCTTGAAGTTGATCACAGAATCATTAAGGGGAAGGGCATATTTTTCACTTCTCTTGTGCCCACAGAGGACCCACCCAGTTTGCTCAGAGAGTCTCAAGTAACAACCGACTGTGACCCCAGAGCCAAGTGAGGACCACAGGTGGGTGGGTGACAGAATACTAAGCAGTTGCCAGGTGGTGAGATGAAACACGACAGCACAAGGCAAAAAAAACATAAAGGCATACACTGAAACAAGACTTGAGCATTACATTGGAATGCTCATCTACCAGAAACATCTACTACAGAAGAGGGAGACAGAATGACTCAGCCAACGGACATCAACCAGCCTCTCTCACCGGCACCCCCAGTGCTGGCACAGGAACAGAGTGGCCATGACGGCAGGGATGGAGGCTATGCCTGGGCCCCACTGTCCAGGCTGGACTAGTGACTGCCAGCAACAGAGACCGATACAGAGCCCTCATACATCACCATCCCTTGAGGAGAAGCAACAGTCTATGCAAGACAGGCTATACCGGGCCCTTTCCACCTTGGAAGGGACAGTGTTATGGACTCATAAATTCACCCCCAAATTCACAGGTTGAAGTCCCCTAACACCCAACGTGACTATATTTGGAGACAGGTCCTTTAAGGAGGTAATGAAGGTTAAATGAGGTTGTAAGGGTGGGACCCTAATCCAATAGGATAGGTGTCCTTATAAGAAGAGACACTAGGAGCATGCATAGTGTGGGAAAAGGCCATGTGAGGACAAAGTGAAAAGGTTGTCATCTGCAACTCAGGGAGAGTCCTTTCCAAAGACCAACCCTGCCAGCACCTTGATCTTGGAATTCTAGCCTCCAGAACAGTAAGAAAAGAATTTTCTGTTTTTAGACCACCTAGTCTGTGATATTCTGTACGGCAGCCTGAGCTGACTATAACAAAGGCAGCAATTCATCTTCACTGCAATCGACACATATTTTGGTTCTAGGTCTGCCTGTCTTTTCTGTCAACCAGCACCACCATCTACAGGTTTACTGGAGTTTGGTCTACTGACCAGGGTTCAAACTAACATTGCATCAGATCACAAGATCACTTACAGCAAAGTTAAGTGGGATGCACTGATCCTCTCACATATCACACGACCTAGGAGCTGCCAGCCCCCCAGACCAATAAGACAGCCAGATGAACATACAAGTGTAATGCCAGTTTGGAGAGGATGCCCCACAAGGATGGCACTGTGGGCTCCAGCCAAGCAGTACAGACCCTAAATTAACAACCATTACCTGGGTGCTATGTCCCCAACAGGTAGAATATATGTATCTTGGAAATAAAGAGGTCAGAGTGGAAGTGGCCCTGATTACCCTCTCACCCAGTGACCCACTTGGGAATCTGGGCTTCTGGTCCCTGAAACTAGATTCCGTGGGTTTAGAGAGCTTGCCTCCCAGGAGGGTAACACATTTCCATCAGGGACAAAGTAAGAAGGCCATTACATTTTAAATTATAGCTGTTGCCCTTTTGGGCTCTTGTGCCAACAGGGCAACAGGCAAGGAAAGAAATCATTATCATGGCAGGACTAATTAATTGCAATCCTCAGGAAAAAGTACAGTGAGGGGGACAAAAAGTAGGAGGAAAAAGTATGTGTGGCACTAGGGCATCCCTTGGTACTCCCGTGGCCCCTTTTTTACAGTAAGAGGACAAAGGCAGCAGACACGGCCTGAGAGAGGTGTGGTAAAATTGGGGACTCAGAGCTCACAGGGATGAGGCTCTGTATCACTGCACCAAGTATGTCTGCCAGCCAAGGGTGGAATGGACAGAAGAGGGAGATAATGACCAGTATGGCCTGGAAATCAGCTTCCGCAGAAGGGGATGAAATGTGTCCTATTAACCTTCCTCCTGAAGGTCTCTCCTGGGGAAAGACTGTCATTAGAGTCTTGGAGGAGCTGCTCCAAGAATTTATGTCAAATAAGAGATGCAAGCAGCACCAACAGGTGGATGCTTTGGTCTGCCGCCCAGATCCCCTACCTCCCCAGGACTGAAGTGCTTGGTCTTCCTGCTGACGGGGATTGTTGGCAGGGACACCCATTCTGTGGATAGCATGCACCTAAGGAGAGCCGGTCGGTCCAAGACCTGAAATCGCTCCCAGTGACCAGCTGGTGGAGGTTGCCAGTTTCAGCTCCTTGGCCAAATCTGGTGCAATCTGGAAGGGCTCTCCTTATCTCCACAGCTCCCTGTAAGGCTGGCTCAGACCCTCTTCATAACTGTTGTTCAGCCTCCCTGTGTCCTTGACCATCACTCCTCCAAAAGATACCAATCCTGACAGCATTCCCTGAGAAACTTCATGCATAAAACTGGGTCTGGGGATGCTAAGCTGAGCGATTCAACGTTTCTGGCTTGCTCATGTGCATGAGGTCTGTAGCTATCTGATGGTATTCCCAGGTATTCCAAAAGTACCCCAGTCAATATATTCCTCCCCCCCAATCTATCCTTTCGATATTGGTGAGACGGTGCTATCATCAATCTATCCCATTATCTAAGCCAGAAACCTCAGAATCCTACCCTATTTGTTTCTCTCCCTCACAGCTTTGCCCTTTCTACCTGAAAAATATTTTTACTCATCCTTACTTCATTTTTTGGACACTGGTCATTCTGAGTTCTCATGCTTTTCATTCTTCCTTCTATTTCCTTGAAGAATCCAGCTCCTCCTCTTGCTACATATGAGGCTTCATCTATAGCTTCTGTTCATCTTGGATGTAATTCTCTTAAAGAACTCACCTAGCATCTAGTCAACCCTACAAAGTTGACTCCATGATCTCTACCCCCAGCTCTGATCTCTCTGAGAGGGTGGTCTGTCCTCCACATTTAACTGTATCACAGGTATCTTTGTTGTACATTCTAGAGTCATCTCAAGTTCAAATACATCTGTAGGGAACACCCTCTGCTTCTGTTTTTCACCTGTAGAGTCAACCCATTCATAAGGGACCCCTTCTTCCAATCCAGATCTATATGCTGGGACCCATATCTCCAATGGGACATCTGGGATGCCACACTTGATGCCACTTTTCCAGACCACTGTGAGGCCTGCAGACCTACTTCTCACACCCAATAAGGGCAAGAGATAGGGAGATGGCAAGAGAGAACGGTATCCTTTCTCACACCCCAGAGGGTAAAGAAGATGGACATGAGAAATGAAGAGCCCAGTATGCTGTATCACAGGGTGCCAAAGCAAGATCACGTGTGAGGTTTTGGCTGACATATAGTAACCCCTGACAGACAAGTGTGCTATTAGAGTGTTTGAATACAGCAGTTTTTGTAGATAAATGCTCAAGATTTCCTGATATCAATGACAAGGCTAAGAAAACAGATTTGATTCATTGGTTATTCTCCTGAAACTTTCTTACCTTCATATTCTCTCCATCGAGAAGTTTTACATCTGCTCTTCACTCCAGAGCACATGATAATAAGCATTTTAACAGGAAGACACTGTGGCTTTTACAAGATTATAAGAGCAGATAAATATCATATCTTGTTAACTAGGTTGGTGTTTCTCTAAGAAATCATGTTTATTTAATAGAAGTGGAACAAGAATGTCCAGTTTGACCAGTCTTTCAGCTGCAATTTTTGTTGCTGTTGGTTTTTTTTTTAACTTGAACACACACACACACACGCACACACACACACACACACACACACACACACACACAGAGCTAAGAAAGCCACTATCAGAGACCTCCATCCTACCTTGAAATGTCAAATGATCCACCTTGCAATGCATAGGGGTAAAATGTACTCTCAATCACACCAACAGTCACAGAGGCGAAGTGTACTGAGACCACTGAGTATTTCTGCATTTTGAATTAGTATTCTGTTGCTACCTGCTGTCTCTGCCTGTTGCTTACCTGCTGTCTCTGCCTTCTCACTTGTGCAAACTGAGAAAGCATCAGCTGCCGGTCAAGCAGCTCCATCCTTTGTTGTCTCTGGATGTCTACTGTGGCTCCCATCCCGATTCTGGCTTCAGTGGTGGGTTCTGGAGATGAGAAGATAGGCTCAAGTGTCCAAGAAAAGAACTTTGCCATCCATCTGGGAATGCAGAGCACCTGCTGGAGTTGGAACACTTTGCTGTTGTAGCAGATGCCTGATATCTGAAAGGAGAAAAGTCCAACTGGATTGTTTCAACGTAATGATATTAAAGAACATAGTAACACAGAAATCAATAACCATAAAATACTTCAGATGCTATTTTTCTTCATTTTAGTAGCATTGGGTGATAATCAAAACTCCTTCTAAGCTGCAGAATAGGAAGCAGTACAAATCAACAAAAATTTAGTCAGTGAACAAATTTGTTTTTATTAAGCTAGAAAAGAGAGCAAAATTCTAACCACTTAACACTCAACGAACTGGTAAAATATTTTAAAAAACAATATTTTCTTAAAGCCATACGAGATCTGATTATCAAAAACACTTTCACAGTGTACTAACTCTGTGGTTACTCTTATTGGCAGATGGCCATCAGAGACAGGTACTGGCAGAAAACAACTTTAATGGCCAATGATGTGATCCAGCATATAATAAATTTATCACAAAATTAGACAATCTACATTTTGTTCTAATACATTTTTCAAGTACTGATTTTTCTAGTTTCAAAATCCTTAAAAAAAATAAAATCCTTGACAATACTAATTCACAATTCTCTTTACAAATAAGCCTATTTTTCATCTTTAAGGTAATTTGTACAGTAATAGACATCTAAAGATTATGGTTTTCTAGGTTAAAATGAGTATGGCTATTCCTTTGTAAAAAAAAAAATAACAACTTGAATTTTGTGAATTTGATTTTGAGGATAAGAAGTTGAATTATTCTCACCAAGTTAGAATGTATTTGACAATGTGCTAATAGGAGAAAAGTACACTTTAATGTTTTCTTAATACAATTTAAATTAATTAGGCAAGAATTTGCTGAGCATCTACTATACCCCGGACACTGTTGCAGGCACTTAGAGGTCAGTGGAAGACAAGATCAACAAGGCCCTACTCACAGAGGTAATAGTGGTCAGTATGGAAAATAGGGAATAAATGAGCAAACATCAAGCAAGTTCTGTGAAGAAAACAAGTGGCCTGGAGCAGGGACCGTCTGTAGGTCAGGTGTCAGGGAAGCTTTGGAGGAAGTGACATTTGAACAAAGCTCCTCAGGATAATGGGGTGGGTGCCAGGGATTTGAAGACTCAGAGGAAGAACCTTTCAGCCAGTGCAAACAGCACATGCGATGCAGCAATGGGCCTGGCAGCATCTATTCGAGATCTCAGTGGGATATCAAGTGGGCAGTCAGGTCCACACATCTGGAACTCAAGGGAAAACATAGCAGAGGTAAGGATTCAGGGCTCACAGGCACTGACGGTGGTTAAAGCCCTGGGATTAGGTGATGGCAAGGGCATGGGACAAACAGCAAAAGGGAGAAGAGGATGTAGATTCAACGCAGCAATTCTCTGTGCATGGACAAAGTGGGAGAGGCCAGTGATGTCACCTGGAAGTGCTGCCAAGGGAGAGGAGAAAAACTAGGAGGGCTTGGTATCACCGAAGTGAAGAGAACAGTTTTAGGCTGGGAAAAGCCAGCTATGAACCATGCAGCTCCAGGTTCAACCAGGCCAGGGAGGAAAATGAGCACTGGATTTGGTGAAATGGAAGCCCTGATGACCTTGTAAGAACAGTTCTGGTGCAGTGGTAGGAGCAAAAGACAGACTGGGACCGCGAGAAGAGACGATGTAGAGGACTTTTGGTTTCAAATCATTTGTATGCCACTTCTCTCAAAAACAATACAGAACAACAAAGAAAATGGAAACAAATTCCACACTCAATGAAACTAGAAAGCATCTACAATCCTGAACCACACTAACAAAATGGAAAACACGCTGAGTAATGGAAGTGATTTCTAATGGGAAGAAAGGTAAATCCAAATGCTGGCAAGGTCCCCTGGAGCTTAGAGAGCCTCATTGATTAGAGGCACCAAGGACTGTGAAGGCAGGAGGGAAGCAGAGTCCTCCTTAACTCTGCAGGAAGGAACCCTGAATCCTGCCCCTACCCAATGTAGCCCATATCCACCCTCTCTCCTTCTCAGGGAGAAGGTAAAAGCTCTGTAGGGTGTGAATCAAAGAGGCTTTGAAGTGGGCAGAGCCTGCCCAGTGGGGAGGCCCAGGGCTCTGCCCATAAGATTCCAGACAGAGAAGAGAGGCCCTCAGTGTAGGTCTCATAGAGATTCCAGAAGAAGACTATGGGGGGAGGTGGGGAGAACAGGACAGTATTTCAAGAGATAATAGTTAAGAGTTCTCCAGAATTTATAATAAAGAATGTAAACCTTAGATTGAAAATGCAAGAGTCCCAGAAAGGATAACAAAATGAAATTTATATCTAGATGCATTGTAGTGAAACAAATAAAAAGTCCTTAAAAGTTACCAGAGATAAAACAGACTGCCTAGAAAGGAAAAACAATTATCTACAGAACAGCAAACTGTTACAAAAACAACAAACAAACAAACAAACTCTAAAATGCATTTGGAGGGCAGCCCTGGTGGTGCAGAGGTTTAGCGACACCTTCAGCCCAGGGCGTGCGTGATCTCGGAGACCTAGGATTGAGTTCCACATCGGGCTCCCTGCATGCAGCTTGTTTCTCCCTCTGCCTGTGTCTCTGCCTCTCTCTCTCTCTCTCTCTCTCTCCCTGTCTCTCTCATGAATAAATAAATAAAATCTTTAAAAAAAATAAATAAAATGCATTTGGAATATTTAAAGCTTAAGTTTAAAAAACATAATGTGAGAACGAAGAAGCCAGACAAAAAATGCATATATTATATGATTCCACTTTTGTGAATGGATCAATCTGATCTATCTATCCAACTGTCTATCCATCCACACATCCATCCATACCAAGGGCAAAAACGAAGGAGCAAAGCATGAGGGTGATGACCGTCTGTCCTGGGAGAGCTGTCACAGGAGCAAGAGGCACCAAGAGGCTTTGGAGGCTGGCAGTACTCTGGCCTGTATGGGTTTTTATGGGTGTGTTCACTTTATAGTGACTTGTTTGGTTTCATGACATTTATAGTTTATGAATATTTGGGGTGTGTGTGTGTGTGTGTGTGTGTGTGTGTGTATCATAATAAAAAGATTTTAAAATAAATCAAAGGATCCAGAATGGCCAAAGTAATTTTAAAGAAACATAATAAGGCTCATCAGATTTCAAGATATGATATAAAGTTTGAGTAATTAAAATAGTGTGGTCTTTATGTGGAGCTACTCAAATTGACCTAAAGAAGAGAGCATAGAAAGGCTTCGGAGGAGAAGGGCATGTGGTACCCAGCAGAAATGGTAAGTTAGAGAGAGCTCTACATCAGGATAAAGATAAAACATCCCCCCTTCCCAACATCATCTGTAAATTCCCAACAGATGAAGGAAACAAATAATTCACTGTACTTGAAATATTTTTACACAAAATACAGAAGGCACATCTTTTTGACACTGAGATGGGAAGAATTTTTAAATAAGGACCAGACAGCACAAACTATAAAAGAAAACATACAGTTATTCACTTTATAATTTAAAAGCTATAGTATGCTAAAAGTTACCATAAGTGAAGCCAAAGGACAAGTAAGAGCCCAGAGAACACACTTAGAATCCTTGCTGCCAACAAAGGTAGTATTCAAAACACATAAGAGAACTATAAATTTCTCAGAGAAAGACAATCAATCCAACTTAAAAAGTGGGTGAAAAGGCAATTTCAGAAAAGGAAATTCAAAAGGCCAACAAACACATGAAAAAGACGTTTACCCTCACTTGTTTTTAGGGAAATGTAATGTTAAATATAATAATTGGGAAAAAATGGAAAAATCTGGGATCAAGTTTTGGTGAGGACAAGGAGAACTCCAAATGCTCACAGTCCTGAGGGAAAGTAAAGTGGGACAAACTCTCCAGAAAGCAATCTGATAGAACCTAAGCAGAGCTGAAGCCATGCTTTAGGGAATACTCAACTGCAACATTGTATGTAACAGCTAGGAAATGCAAACAAAGTGTCCCCAGAAGAGGACTGGCTAAGGACTGGTTTATAAACATCAATTAAAATAAACTCAGTCTACATGTGTCAATATATTTTTAATATATCATACATCCTTCTTTTTACAAGATTCCAAAGCACAAGATAATAGTATAGACTATTTATGGGTACAAACTTGCATCGTAAATACAGAAGCATGGAGGGTAGATTTTTCTATGACAGGATGGGGAAACAGAAGGGACGTGCAGGGGAGGCACTATCTGTGTGTGTGTGTGTGTGTATAAATTTTTTTTAATAAACAAAGAGATAGTATGTTATGGCAAAAACACATAATGGACTGGAGGCAAGGATCAGAAATTCCTTTTCTAAAGATCTGGGTATGAAGGAAAACAGAAAATGGGACTGTATCACATTGATTTTGCTTAAGACAGAATATTGTTATACACATAACAAAATATGAAAATAATTTATCAGATTAGAACTGTGAGACTTGAATTATATAAAAAATTTAAAATTTTTGTTTTTTAGCTTCAAAGCCTCAACCATGAATGTGAATTTGTCCATTTCTTCCTTTAGTTCCCTTTTCATTTCTTGTCTGTGTTCAGAAACAGTTATTAGGTACACATACACTTATAATGGACCCTTTTATCATCACAAAGTGATCTTCTTTGTTTTTAGGATTACTCATACAGAAATCTATTTTGTCAGGTATTAATGTGGCCATTTTGGCTTTTTGCTTCCATGATATATCTTTCTTTATCTTCTGACTTTCGACCTGTTTTGTATGTCTGTGTGTAAAGTTTGTCTTATTGACTACATATAGCAGCTCCTGGGTTTTCATTCCAGATTGACAATCTCTGCCTTTTGAATGGAGTGTCTAAGTGTCTAGCTCTTCAGACTTACTGGGCTTACTCTGATATCGGTGGATTTTGCTATTTGCTTTCTATTTGTCTCCTCTCTCTCTTTTTTTTTTTTGTTCTTTGTTCCTCCTTTCCTACTTTCTTTTGTGTTAAGCTAACATTTTAGTATTTCACTTTCATTTGTTTATTGGGTTTTGTTTTGTTTTTTAGCAATACTTCACTGCTTACTTTTCTTGTGTTTGTTCTGC